AGAAACTAAAACTTGATGGTGTCACCTATCATACAAAAAAAATTAGTCGATAAAGCTCAATTAATAGTGAAGTTAGAAGAAAAAACTTTTGTTAAATGACTTGTGGGACACCCTCCCAGGTCGAGGGTTATGGACTCCGTATACGACCGTATTTCGCCGTATTACATGGCTCAGTGTTAGGATCGTGTGTCTCCGTGACCGTATACGGAGAAATACGGCAAAGAACGGAGGTCGTATATGGAGCGTTTACGATCGTAAACGATCGTAAACGATCACTTTCGCCGTCTGTTGTCCTCCTTATCCCTACCCAATTACATGAAAATAACGCATTCAACATAATAATTAAATTCAAATATTACAAAATAATTACTGTTGACCGAATGTATCCTGTACAATGAATTAAAATAAATAGAATAAAATCGAAATACTTCCTGTTCATTGAATATATCCTTTTAAATGACCTAAAATAAATAAATTGAAATGAATTGAAATGTTTACTGTTCAATGAATATATCCATTTATATGGTCTAAAATAGAAAAAGTAAAATGAATTAAATTGAAATGCTGTTCATTGAATGTATCTACATAGATGGTGTAAAATAAAATAAAATAAATAAAATAAATTGACATACTTACTGTTCATTTAATATATCCACTTAACTGATCTAAAATAAGATGAAATAAATTATAATACTTATTGCTCATTAAATATATACATTTAAATGACCTAAAATAAATAAACTAAAATGAACTGAATTACAAATGTATACTGTTCCTTGAATAAAGGGTATTTCATGAATTTCGACCCCATTTTTATCTTTTTGTATTTTTGCCGTATTGAAAGGTGTACAGATATCGGGTGTATATATTTGAAGAGTAACATCTAAGCTATCATTCAAGATAAATTGCAATATTTATATTCGATATCTGTGCACCTTTGAATACAGCAAAAATACAAAAAAAAATAAACATGGAGTCGAAACTTATGAAACACCCTTCATATTTATTTAAATAATCTAAAATAGAAAAAGTCAAATGAATTGAATTGAAATACTTACTGTGCACTGAATGGATTCACTTCGATGGTCTAAAACATATAAATTAAAATAAATAAAATAAAAATACTTACTGTTGTTCATTGAGTTTGTCGCCTTAAATGATTTAAAATAAATAAAATTAATTAAATAAAATTAAAATATTTGTTCATTGAATGTGTCCCAATAGATGATCTAAAATAAATAAAATAAACAAAAATACTTACTGTTCATCGAATCTGTCTCCATAAATGACCGAAAGAAATAAAATAAAATAAATTAAATTAAAATACTTCTTATTCATTGAATTTGCACCTTTAATCCTTCTAAATGACCTTCTATTGTAGGCCCTTATCCTGAATTTTTATGCTTTGTACTATATGTTCTATCCATATATTTCTCTACGCTATGCCAGCATCTGTAGTTTATCTCCTCCAGTCTACGTCTACCACTTTGTCAACCAAATAACCCTTTATTATTAGCCGAGAGCAGCGTCATAGCTAGCTACTGCAAACGTGTTGTCGTAGCTGTCCGATATATGTACGTAAGCATAGACAGAAATTAAAGAAGTGTGTGAGCAAAAGTCAAAAGCAATCATATGAAGTTGTAGGAAGCAGTATCTATGCTTACTCCGAAGATACTGTTTCCTTCATCGACTGTTGCAATCGTGCTCGCCCATTTCTGCCGAAAATTTCTAAAGTTGTGCATACCATAGCCGTATACGGAGCTGAGATATTAATCTGTCAATGACTTCGTATTTTTTCACGATCTCCGTAAACGGTCGTTTACGATCGGGCATGTTCGATCTGGGCTGTAGTTTGACTCGATTCGATGGTAAAACTGAAATCAAAGCGGACCATTTATCCCTTTTCTTCTATCTATATCTATTTTTTAAATTGATACAGAGAACTGGCATGTCGTCAATTAGAATATGCTTCGAGGATTTACGTGACAGAAAGCTGAATAAAAACAAAAAGAAGCGGTAAGTCATTGTATCACACTTTTTTATTATTATACTTTGAAAATATTCCACTTAGCTATTTTAAACATATTTGTTTGCGATGTTCACCTGTCTGTTTAATTCTGTCTCTAATTCCTGCCCTTCTTCTTGGCGCAGGCATTGCTGCATTAGCCGTTGCCTTGACCACCGTATCTAAAACGACAATAACAACAACAACAATAGCATCCACAACCACAATAACAGCAACGACGACAACGACAACAACTGCGACGACGACAACTACAACAACAGCAACGACGGCAACAACAACAACTGCGACGACGACAACGACAACAACAGTGACGACTATCAGTACAACAACAAGTAAGACAGCATTCGCGTTTTTATTCGCCTATATACATGGATATTCATATGATTGGATTAGTGAAAAAATCTTCTAGTTGATCGGTGTGGGATATATCTATTATTGAGATATTCAAGAAGGGAAGCAGCGACGTTGTATTATTTTAGTGACTTGAATTTGATCTTTGACTGATTCAAACGAGCTGCTTCCTCCTTGGAGAATCGATGAATAACTTCTCAGAAATTGGAGTCAATACTTAGCCCAGATGATCGACAGTTCACCTATGAGAGAAACTGTTGACTTTCTTTATTGATTTCTTCAACCTTACCCAGTTTTCGAGAGACGGCTGATTAGCTATTTTAACTTTTTAATAAAAGACAGAGTGAAGACTTATCATTTTTTGAGTATGAAAAGGACGAACGAATGATCGAATGTCTCTTTGGATAGATAAGTAGAAGGACAACACCGTTATTGTCTGGTTCGGATAACGGATGAGCCAGCTAGTGATCGTTGCTGTAAAGAAGAATGGTTACTTTTGGGCTATTGTTATCTGACTGCACCGTTCGCGTGGTGCTTTATTAAACCTCTACTGTTGAACGAAGTTCATCATCAATCATTTCTTACGGAAATGGGCGCATCAATAATGGTCATGCTTTAGCGAGACCATGTTGACAATCATCCGGGTGATTATAACCAACAAAAGCCTTTTGAATTTTGTCGATCTGATCGAATCTGAGATCAGGTTCAGTTCAATTTCAATGAAATATCATTGAAGACGACATTACGAAACCAAAAAATAGTTGAATGATGATAAGAATACTTTAACAACGATAATCAGAATTGGGGAGTGACTCTCTGTGAAAAACTTCAATCTCTGTCGGAGTATGTTTGAATTACAGTATCATCTAAGTTCTAATCACACGTTATTTAAACATCTTCAGATCAGGATGACGGATATTCCCACTAAGGACATTTACTAAGAAGGACATTTCGTCAAGAATATTTTTCAAACGAGATTCTAGCGTAAATTCACAACGAATAAATTGAAAATTTTAATTGAATTGTGTAAGGTTTCCGTTGTGAAGATAAAGAGAAAAAAATTTGTAATGTTTAATTTCATATTTTTTTTTGTCCTGCAGCAATACAGATGTTTTTTAAACATATGTCTTAGAAACTTTCATTGTGCGTAGTTATCCAGACAATATGAAGACAGTTTTACAAAACTAAAGTTCTACTTTTTCTTCGAATACATTCAGTTAGTTAAGCAGACAGATAAAAGTTAATACTATTAGCATTTTGCATTAATTCATCTTGTATTTAATGACTAATATTGTTACAGTAATCACTTCAGTAAATAATAACCAGAAAATTCTCTTCTTTATTCGAAAAAGTAGTTAAATACTCTAGTGAATGTACTGAGCTAAGGGCACTTGAAAAAGTACCCTGCTACTAGTATGTCATAGGATCTGTAGCGTACTGAAGTACCACAAAGTATTTTTAGGTACGTATAAGGTACTGGAGCGGATACCCTGCTGGAAAGCATCTAGTAAATGGGTAGTTGAAGGTACTGATTAAATACTTAACTGGGTACTATTGCACAGTATTTTTAGGTACCTTGTTGCCAAAAGTGCAGTATGTTGTTGATCGAACCTAACTTTTGACTTTTTTCATTTTTGTTTCTCTCAAAGCAATTTATGACATTTTTTTCGATTTTATTTAATTTAGTTTTTCCTATTCTGAAAACTCAAGCAGGTCAAATTTCGGAATCTGACCGGACCTGAGTTGGTCGGATCTCCATCAGACCACTTGAGGGTAGTCCTCTCTCAATTTACGATCGAGATCGGCATGTTCTCGATTAGTAAATAGTCAAGAAATAATCTATAGAAAAAATTAGGATGAAAAAATATTAATTTCTTATGTTTTTGTCAAGTTGTTTAAATGGAGCCGTGTGTGCAAAAGAAAACGGTGAATGAACAGTTGCTACACAGAACGCGACAAATTTAGGGTATCCTGTAGAGCTTTCCTCAGTAAAATTATAGATACGGGTACCAATACAAGTACTTGTTCAGTAAACATACTACTATGGGTACCCAATGAAATACCTACATCAGTATAATTACTGAGATTTTTCGAAGTACCCATATCGGGTACCTTGCTGAGGCTTTCTCAGTATATGGGTACCCTTAGTTCAGTACATTCACTAGGGTAGTAGCATTGCAGAAATATATTCATCTCAATTTTTCTAAATAGAAAATATTTCTATTTCTAGCTGTAACAACGACTACAACACCGACTCCAGGTAATGTATTGATTTCTGGAGTAAATGATCCGTTGATAGCGCTATTGGCTATAAAATCAAACTTTTCGTTGAACATATTACTTCTTTAGAATGCTACTGATACAAAAGATTTTGTAATAAAAGAACGAAGATCTTTTCTTTCTCTTCCTAAATTATATAAAAGATTTTGTTTGATAACTGCATAATATTGTCTTCGAAAACTTTGTGTAATAAATAAAAAATATTTTGACTTATGCCGAAGTAGAAAGAGTTCATACTATATAAGAAATAGTTTTCCGTATATGACTGTGAGTTTTAAGAGATTTATTGATTTGCATTCCTTTCTAAACTGCAAATAACAGATATTTGCTCATAGAATGGTTGATGATGGGTAATATGAATTATGCTCGAGCTTACCACACGGCATCCGTATTAGCCAATGGAAAAGTATTAGTTGCTGGTGGACAAAATAGTGGTGGTATTTTGAGTAGTGCTGAATTATATGATCCATCAACAGGAATGTGGTCAATTACTGGTAGTATGAATTATGCTCGATATTATCATACAACATCTGTCTTAACGAATGGAACAGTGTTAGTTGCTGGCGGATACGATAGTAGTAGTTCTTGGAATAGTGCTGAATTGTATAATCCATCAACAGGTGTGTGGACAATGACTAGCAGTATGAATTACACTCGATATCAACACTCAATGACCACATTAACAAATGGAAAAGTATTAGTGGCTGGTGGATGGAATGGTAATTATTTAAATAGTGCTGAAGTGTATAATCCATCAACAGGAACTTGGACAACTACTGGTAACATGAACAGTAAACGACATTTACATGCAGGATCCATCTTAAAAAATGGAACAGTGTTAGTAACTGCTGGATATTATGGTGCAACTTTGAATAGAACTGAATTATATAATCCATCAGCAGGAGTGTGGACAACCATCAGCAGCACGAACTACCCTCGAGATGAACACACAGCATCCGTTTTAACAAATGAAAAAGTATTAGTTGTTGGTGGACAAAATAGTGGTAGTAGATTGAATAGTGCTGAATTGTATGATCCATCAACAGGAGTCTGGACAATCACTGCTAGTATGAATTATGCTCGATATCGTCATACAGCATCCATATTAACAAATGGAACGGTGTTAGTTACTGGTGGATGGTATGCTAGTCCTTTGAATATAGCTGAAGTATATAATCCATTGGCTGGAGTGTGGACAATCATTGGTAATATGACTTCTTCTCGATATGCACACACAGCATCCGTCTTAGCAAATGGAAAAGTATTAGTTGTCGGTGGTAGGAATACTGGTGGTTATCTGAATAGTTCAGAGATGTACCAATCATAACAAACAAATAAAAAATAAACTGTTTTCTCTTTTTTTCTAATAACTAATTTTGTTTATAACAATCCTTTTCGTATCAGAATTATTTTGGTCTACTAACAATTCAAATTTTCTTTTTAACCTTTAATGTTTCCATTATACCTTTATTAAATTCATCTTATCACAAGAAAATCTTTTATTTTCTCTATTCTTCAAGAATAGTTTAATGTTAAATAAAGTGTCTAATGAAAAAAGTTTCTACTCTCATAACTGAGTTTTTTTTTCTAGTCTGTCAGATTTCAACAACTGTTCGATATTTAAAAAGCACCAAAGGCACTTTCTTCTAATTAATCTTGTCATTATAGAGAAAGCAATTGTTTTCTATTGAAATTTTGGATGTATGCAAGACAAGTATTTAATTCATTTCCAACAATATTTTACAATGAAATAAAGACATTTGATTTTTCTTCATGTAATTAAGATAAAATTAATAATTCAGAAAAATAGAATGCAGTTGAAAATAAATGAAATGAAAAGAGCAATTATGAAGAGTTTTAATCTTGTTAAAGATCTCATCAGATGACTTTATCTTTAAAATATTTAAGTCCTGTTCTCATGATGTAGTGATCACAAAAAAAACACAGATCTTCCCATGATCTATAGACTTTCAAAGAAAAGACAAGGATAGATATTGTGAACAGCATACAATAGGCTATTTAATTTCCACTTAAATTTCCACAAAAAAGCACTCGGTTTCGAACTGAAATCGGGGAAGTACAGCACTTAAGAGATTCTTTTTCTTGGAATAGGAGATTTAGAGGAACTATAGAGTATATTCTTTTAGTTTCACTAGTTGCCTCATCATAGTAAAAGGGAGACTGTAAGATGTATACTACTAAATATATGTTATTTTCCTTAAGTTCTCGTAATTTTTTCATCCTAGTAAAAGAAGAACTCTAGGATGTATACTAATGAGTACACCTCAGTCCTTCATAGTCCACGCTTAATAGGAAAGAAGAGCTAGAAGAGAGAAACAGTAGTGAATATTTCTAAAGTGAGCGCAAATTGTACTAGAACTTCATTAATAGAATAAGGTCGTCAATGGAATTTATATACATTTCTTAGGAAAAGCATCTGTTATATATAACAATATGCGCTTCCTCTCCTACTTGTAAGAAAATCGATTGTGTTGTCTAGAACTCCTTATTTCCAATGTTTCGAAAAGTAATACGCGATCTTTTTTCCAAAAATTTAGTTTCAAATAAAACCGACCAGACTTTGATGAAGAGAAATTAATAGAGATAAAAAATATTGAAATGGTGCGAGTATTTTTCAAGGATGCTCATGAGAATAATTCTCAATTATCCAGGTTATAAATCCCAAACTTTGTAAAATAATCATTTTTCTAGAAGTTAAATAATTCATTGGCAGATTAATTAGATGCAGAACAATTCGCGACACCAAAAATAAAAAGAAAACATTAATTAAGGGGGTGGGTGTGGGTGTGTATGGGTGTGGGTGTGGGTGTGGGTGTGGGTGTGGGTGTGGGTGGGTGTGGGTCAAGATATAAAACTCATACCCACACCCACAGCCACCCACAGGCACCCACACCCACACCCACACACGCACACCCACACCCACACCCACACCCTAACTGTAAGGTTTAATATATGCCAAGAACTTCTTTTTTACATAAGATCACGTATTTGACTTCACTATTTTGTACTAATTAGATGCTTTAACATCGAAACAAAGATCGTTGTAGTTTGGAAATGCTGAGTCAGTAGTAAATTTCTTTATAAGAAAATGTTTTGAAAAACAATATAATGTTAGCTCTGGGAAAGTTTTACTCATGGAGTGGAATGTGGAAGAAGGTCAATATATAAGTAATAAATAAGAAGCATTAAGGTAGGTTTTGAGTATATGACAAAAATCAATTGAAAATCTTTTATTCGAACAAAAATAAGTATGAAAAATAAAGAAGCAACGAAAACAAAACAAAGGTTTTCATGTCTATCTGGCATGAAACTATCAATATACAAGAAGAATCAATGAATTTTAAAGTTAGTGACGTTTCAGATGTTTTGCTGGTGTTTGGGATAGATCTTCGTCTTTTGCTACTGTTACTGTGGCTGCAAGAACATCTTTTTTCGTAGTTATGTTATGAATACGTTTTCTCTTTACAATTCTCGTCGATTTAGAAGAATTACTCGAATTCACATGATTATTACATTCTGAAGAATTAGATTTCATTGAGTATTTTATAACATTGAGTTTTGTCTCAACCATTTTCATTTCATTAAGAAAGTTGTATATCTTAAAAAATTCCAATAATTGTTCATATCTCGTATGAATATTGAAATTAATTAATGTATAAAGTTTTCACAAATCAATTGGACATTCAAGTAGTGGTTGACCAAAATCTTCGTCTATAAGTGTAGATAAGAAAAACGGTAGATCAGGATAAGAGTTCATTTTAGGCCACTGATGTTATTTTTCGTCAAAAGTATACAAAAATGATTGTTCTTCATTTTACGACCTTTCAGCTTCATTTTGAAAGTTACTCAACGTCGAACATTTTAATATCCTTTGAGTTCGAAGCCAAAAATACGAAAACTCAATACATAAAGAGTAAGCTTTTAGAGTATGGAAGAACAATTAATTGGGAACAAAACTAGATAAAAACTACTTTGTCGATTTATCTTTACCTTCATTTTTGGAAAGATATAATAGTAAAAGGACGTGCCTACTATAAGATATTCTAGCCATATATAAATATAGGAAAAAGTTCATCATCTTAGTATTAATTCAGAGCTAAACATCAAGAAATTTATAATAATTTAAAAGAAAGACTTTCCATTTTGACAATACGTTGACATCTTTAATACTTGCCGTATCTTGAGAAAATTTATTTAGTGGTCACCATATTGTTTATACTTCATTTGACTTAGAATTCGATGCTGTTTCCAAGTGTATTGTTATTTTTTTTTAAAGCTTGTGGATTAGGAGAAAAGTGTAAAATACCGGGCGAATTCTATACGTTGCTAAGTTTTTCGTTCTGAACTAATATGAAGATAATGAATTTTTCTAATATTTATATATACCTGGAATCTCTTACAATAGGTGCGTATTTTTTACTATTTTCCGGATCTGCATACTGTTATATCTATACGAAAGCAATGTACATATTTGTATACGTCACAAAAATTCAATGAGAACACTCTTTCAATTATGAAGTTAAAAATTATATCGAAAAAGTAATTTGTATCTACTTTTGTTCCCTAATGTATAGATTTTTCAGAGACATTATGGATAATCTTTCAAAACTCACACTTGAAAAACATCGAAAATGAACTCATCAGCTCATCAAATAAATGAGCATCGTTTTTCTATAACTTTGACACAAAAAAAAAACAAATCAGTGGCCTAAAATGAACTCTTACCTAGATCTCCACTTCCATTGACTAGACAAGAATAGAAAATACAATGAGCAATTCCAAATAGATGACATATTTCATGTGTCAAAAGACGACAAGCTCTGAGTAATAATAAATTTCGTCGTTCAACAATTTCTTCCTTTGATTTAGTAGCAATTTTTAATTTACAATCAAACCAATCTGATTCATTAAATGTTAAATGTGGATCATATCGATAGAGTGAAAATGCTGCCACACGACAATTACCCATAGCTAAACCAGCAATAAATAAATCTGTATCATCACCATAGAGATCAAACATTGTCAGTGCAATGAGACATCGAGCATCATATGGTACAATTTTTTTTAATAGATTTAATATTCCTGTAACACAAATTTGTGAATGTTTTGTTTCTTCATGATAACGTGTACGAAGATTGAAACTACGACTTTTATCGTTATTTAAAGTCATTGTGCCTTGTTTTAAAATTAGAAAAGAAATGCACTGAAAGAGTTTTCAATCATGAGAACTTACATGTCCATTGATTGTTTTTATCATTCCATTGAACATTAATAAAAGGATTGATTAATTTCACTTGCATTTGAAAATAACGTTGAGTATAATCGACTAAACTGTCAATATCAAATATTGTATTGTCAACTTGTCCAAATATCGTTAGATAAATTGTTTTTCTATCAGAAGATGATTTTGTATGAAGAGTTCGAGATAATTGAAGAAATTCCATATAAGTTTGTCCTTTTTCTGCATATTGTGCAAGCCAATCGGATTCTTTCTTTGGTAAAGGTAGATTATCAAATGTTTCACAAAAATTTTCAGTAAAAACAAATTTTACTGTATTATCATCCAGTTTTCCTAAAGCATTTTCAATATCCAACTTTGTTGGTACTTTAAAACGACGAATATAGGACGAAGATTTTTGTTCAAATAAAGTCGACATGATATTGTGAAAGGAGAGAAATTAAATCTGAAAGACATATATATTGATGAGATGACAAACAGTTGTAACGGACTTCAGTCGCAACAAAAGCGTTCCAAAAAACAAAAAATAATAATTTTGAGACAAGCTATCAATAAAATTATATTTTGCTTGGGTAAAATTCATGCATATATTGTACTTTTTCTTAATAATTAAATCTGTGAGTTTGAACTGAGTGGGTAATAGTGTATCGACTGTTTTTAATTTTTCGGACTGAACGTAAAACTTCGTTCTATGGAACAAGACGAGATAATCTCGTTCCATTCGAAGTCCTGACATTTAGTCATTCATCTTTTTCTACACGAACATGTAAAATTATTTGCGTTGTGACAAAAGTCATCATCATCAGAAGTGAAGGACACAAAAAAAAATGATGTGCAACAACAAAATCGAACAAGAATAAAAAGGAAAAAAAATGACGCTTAGATTATGCAACTTAATGCGTCATTTTCTTCCTTTCTGTTTTTCTCTTATTTGTTTTTATAGGTAAATCTGTCTTTGGTATTGTTCAGCGAATCACCAACAGAGCAAAGAGGTGCAATGGCAGCATCCTCGCAGATCAACTTTATATAGCCAAAAAGTTAATAACTAAAAAATTTTCTCTCATTTATTCTTTAAGGATATTTAATATTAGCAAAAACACAAATACGACAAAAAGAATTACTAAAAAAAACAAAATTCATTAGAGTATTAGTTGTATTTTTTCAAAAATAAAGTATCAATCCAAATTAATAACCAGTGTTGTTTGTGCATATCTATCACGACTATTACCAATCCAAAAATTAATAATACCTAGTAATTGTTGTCAATTTGAATTGGGAATATTTCTAACATGAAATGTAAATGAAATAGTTTTTTCTTCATTCTTTTTTTTCAAATATTATTTTGGTAAATTGTAATAATTCTCGTATCGATAATTTAATTACTGTTGAATTTGGAAATTCATAATATAATTGTACGACAAATTGTGCACGGTATGGATCTTCATTTATGATACTTATATTTGTTGTAATATCAGTATCAAGATTATTTATTGGATTAGGAAAAATGATTAGTTTTGAATTAAATGTAAATTTTGAATACGATAAACCATAATCAAATGGAAATAATGGTGGTGCTTTATTATAATCTAAATAACGATATGTTCTACCTGGTGATTTATTCATTGAATAATCATCTATGGGTAACAGTTGACTTGTATTTATTGGTAGTGTAAATGGTAAACAATCACTTGGAATAGATAAACCAAATAATATATAAGCTATTGCATCATCACTGTCCAAAATATGATATCCATAATAATGCTGCTAGATTTTCATTAACAATCAATGGTTCTGATATAGATGAACCAGATATAATTAATATTGCAAATGTTTTATTTAATTTCATTAGCAATTTAATTAATTCTAATTGTCCACCAGGTAATTGTAATGTATTACGATCAGTATCTTCTTCTTCAAAACTTTCATCTAAACCATCAACAAATAAAATTATATTACTTTCACCAGATAATTCTATAGCATGTGCAAAATCTTCATCACTATTATTTCTTCGAGATGCATCCCATGTATGAACAACATTTACATTATATTTTAATGCAATAGATTGTATACCATCTAATGTTGTTATCAATTTACTTGGTGTATCATGATATGTATGTGCTTGAACACTTATATCATCTGATGATGGACCAATAGCTACAATTTATTTTTATTTTTGTGATATCAAATGGTAATATTTGTTTTGGATTTTGTAATAGAACCATTGATTCACTAACAATTTGTTTTGTTAATAATTTATGTTCTAAACTATCAACAATTGAATAAGGTATTGAAGAATATGGATCTGTACCAATTGGATCAAAATTATCACTTAAAAATCTTGAACGTAAACCTCGACGTATAGCTAAATTAATTGTATCAAAATTAACAAAACTATGTGTAAGTGCCTGATGCAATAATTTAAATTCTGTATCACAATTAATATCATTACCAGATGATACAGATATAGCAACAGCTTGTTCTAATGTTGCTGTATAATGAAATGATTTCTGTATATCAGCTACAGGATCACAATCGCCTAGGTAAAAGAAGAATATAAGAACAAAAGGAAAAATGAAGCCCATTAACAAAAAAAAAAAAACAACTTTACTTATAACATAGCCAGTAAAATTCCATTCATTACGTAATACATCATTTAATAAATATTTATTTGCTGCTGATGATATACCATTTACGGCACTTATTGCACTCATTATACCAACAATTGCTTTTTCATAAATAAGTTTTTTCCATACAGGCAAATATGTTATTCTAAAAAATATTAATAACAAACAAATTCTACATTAGATAATTATTTGCACATGTTTTACCTTAAATCAGCATCAGAAATAATTGCATTAAAACTAAATCTACCATTATCAGGATCATCATAATCAATAAAATGTCTTAAAAATAGAATAATTATTTAATATATTAATTTAAAAAAAGAAAAACAACAATTTTTTAATAAAATATGTACAAAATTTTACCTCATAACAAGTATAACTTTATAAATTCCATATTCTCATTTTGCATAACCCATAAGAACTTTATTGAAAGCTACTGCTATTTCACCAGTTAATATTGGACATTCACCTTATAATAAAGAAAGAAAAATACCAAATTCCAATAATAAATATTTTAATTTATTATTTACCATATGTTTCTGGTACTCTTCCTCATCTTGGATCTCTGACAATATTAATAATACTTGATGCACCAGTTTTATAATCAACACTTTTATTTTGTATAATTATAATGTATTGCCATGCTTTCATCACTAACCATAATACCAGATTGAAAAATTAAATTTTTATTCCATGTTGAAGCTATTCCTGTACCTTGTGATAGTACAGAAACATTACCATCAATAACAGGATTATAACAATTAATTTTACAACCATTTGATGCTGATCGATAAACATATCCTTGTTCCGTCCAAGAATATCCACGAATATTAAAACGTAGAACAGCTAAATTAGGTAATTCTCCATCGATCCATCCATCCATAACATATCAATCTTAAAAACAAATAAAAAAAAATATAATAATAGTCAATGTCAATAAGATTATTGTAAAAAATAAATTTTATTATTACCTTTTCTTCTGGAGTTAGCAATGACATAAGATTATCTAATCTTACATCAGTTGGTAATGTTGGATCTTGAAATGGATAATCATAATTTAATTTACATAAATGTTTACGGTATTCATAGATATACAAAGTATTATGTATATAAATACAAAAATAAAAAATAATACTGAAATAATCGATTTCAT